TAGTGTTGGGTGAGAGCAGGAATCGTCTGGGCTCGACAGAGACCCGGTGACAGTTCCTGAACTACTTACGCCCACCCTGTTTGCCTGTTACCCGCTTCCCCAAACATGCGTTTCCCCGGCCACGTGTGTGGGCCCCCGGCGCCAGGCCAGGCTGATGTGTTGGTCTGTGACTTCACGTGCCCCACCCAGCCCCTGGGCGCCGCCCCCTGCCTGCCCAACCTCCCTTCCCTGCCGGCACTACGCCACTCGTCCACGCGGAGGACGCCACTCTCCGGCCAGGGGTCACCCTCATTTTGTCCCAAGCTCCCAGCTCTGGTGTCCCCAGACCCCGCCCTCCCTCGGAAGCCTGGGTCTGGAGAGGCCGAGGATCCGGCGGGGAACGACACACAGGCTCCCCAGGCCCCCGGAGACCTGTGTGGCCTTAAGCAGCCCCGGAGGCGCCCACTTGCCCGCCCAGGAGCGCGTCGGCTCTGCGGCCGTCTGCCCAGGCCAGCGAGTAGCAACGTCAGAGCCATACACGGACACGATCTACAGTGGTCTCCGTGGTCTGTTGTGATCGGCCCTCTCCAGCCCGCCGGCCGCCCTCCCTGGGTCTGGGGTAAGCGGGTCGTGTCCCCACCCTCCGAGCCTCGTAGGGTGCCGTTACCTGGGGGAGAGGCTGAGAGTAGGCCGCTGTCCCTGTCCTCACTGGAAGGGGGCGGTGCGGTGTCCCTTCGGCAGGTTGGGGGCGTCGGTGGTTGGCCTGAAGGTCCCTCGTCCTGGAGCTCTTGAATCAGTGGGCATGGGGACTTAGCGTCCCTAAGACTTGGGGTTTCCAAGACCCTCTTTGCTGTTGCCGCTTTCAGTATGCCTGTAAAGGGCGTCTCAGCCTTCCTCGAGGTGTCCTTGGGGATTGCGAATATGCTTGAAAGGGTATCTGGGATGTTTTCCAGCTCTGGGAGTGAGGAGTAGTCCAGCTCAGGGTCACTGTCGTCACTTGAGCTCGAGATGGCTGTAACCTTCGGAGCGCACGCCTGTTGAGAGAGAAAAGGCGCGTGAACGTTTCTGCTTTCACGATGGTCACGGTCAAATGCCCGGCGCTGATTCTGCTCTCTCGCTGGTCATAAAATACTGTCGTCACGCACAAGAAAGGCGTGCGCTAGCCCAGCACCGTGCCCTCGGGCAGTCGGGCGTCAGAACGGATGCCCTCGGCCAGCCGTCCGGAGCCCCCGGGGCGGAGCTGAGCTCCCCGGCAGGGCCGCGGTCCTCTGCACCTTCTGTCGCTGTGCGGCCACGCTCGCCTCGCCTCGCCTGCCCTGTGCCTGCCACGCCAGCCCTCCCGGGGCTCCAGATGGGCTCCGCTCTGAGCCTCGGCCTCGGGCTGCCATACGCTCCACCCGATGCGGCCCCCTGGGGACGAGGCCCCCACGGGGACTGTGGTCTCGTGGGTGTTTCCTTCCTCCGTGATGAGCTCCTGGACGGAGACGGTGTCTCACGCTTTCCTCTCTCTCGGGCCCTGGTGATGCCGGAGGGAGGCGGCTCCGGTCCACCTGGGGGAACCCATTCTGCCCTGGACGCTCGCCTTCCCCGTCGGAGTGTCACTATAGGACGGACGTCCCAAAAGCGAGCGTACGGTACCCGAGAAGGACAGAGACGCGTGGTCAGGTAATTATGTACGAGAAGCAGGTACTGGACGTCGTGACACAATGTGCCCTCGGGAGGACCTCACAGAAGTGGGCGACGGTGGCAGCCGCCCTTCCTTTGGTGAGGGACGGCCGAGGGCGCGGTGCCGTGGCACAGGAGCGCCTGACGCATGCCAAGGGGCCGTGCCCCGTAAGTGACAAGACTGGGGTGACGTGACCCGAGGTTCGTGCGGGAAGGCGGGGCTGATGACCTCGTCCTGGCCGTCCAGAGGCTCGCCGGCGTCCTCGTCCTCCAAGTCGGGCAGGTCCTAGAAGAGCAGAGAGTCCCCGTCACCAGGCAACGCGCACGCAGGGGCGGCAGGGCGTGCGCGCGGCCCGTGGGCCCGGGTCGTGCGCCAGCACCGTGCGCGGGAGAAATGAGGAAGGACCCGACGGGCCACCGTGCACGCTCTCACACGCGCGTCGGGAACCCAGACCGCAGCAATGACAGTGACCGAGGTCTGCGGGAATGGCTACCTCTTGCCCCGCTTTAGAGCGGGGCTTTAGAGACACGGCCCCTTCGTCTGGGGAAAGTGACGGGGCCCGAACCCAGTGCACCACGAGTGTACCGGTTTCTCACTCCCTTCCTCTGTACAGTGGGGATGATAATGGCACCTACCACCTCGCAGAGTTTTGGAAGGTTCAACCAGTCAATACACACGCCTTTGAGACCAGCGCCAGGCAGAGTAAGAACCAGAAGTATTAGTCATCTTCCCGTATACAGCTGGTTCTCCAATTAATCCTGTTTTGTTCCTCAGCATCCATAGGCTCAGAAAACTAGAGACCCACTCTGGACGCTGACCGCGCCGTTTAACTCTTACTGACTCGCGTGCAGTTGTGAGGTTTGCCAGGAAGGAGGCAGGGGCAGGCGTAGCTGTGCGCATGGGTTTACGCTAAAGGGACCCACTCGTGCCCAGAGAGGCTGTCTGGTGGGCATGGAAATAAAGGGGTGAGAAATGCCTCCCCACCCCTTGCCCCCCCCACCCCCCAAACACACTTCCTAGGGATTGTGACAAAATGTGTGAATTCCCACGCTTCCCGTTCCTGCGGGCCAGAGCATTTACGACTGGTCCCCAAATGGAACGTCTGGGAGAAGGGGTGTTCGCAAGGCCAGACGGGCCCTCGGTCAGGAAGCCGGAGCGGCCACGGGCCAGGACGATGGCATTCGCCACTGGCTGGACAGCCGTCCTCGGAGGAGTAGAGGCTCCCGTGATAAATGTCACGTTCTCCACAATTCTGCATGAGGCTAGCGGGACGGGATTGCTTTGCAGTGTACCTCCCGGGGAAACCTCTGGGCCAGCCCGGCTCAATCTCGACCGTGCCCGTGTACGAACCCCCGGGGAGGTCGTGTTAGAAGGCAGGTCTGGTCACGAGGTCCGGAGTGAATCCTAGCCAGCTTGGGAATGTCAGGCCTGTTGGCCGCAGAGCGCGCTTTGGGGTGTGAGGGTTTTGAAGGTTTGGATGTGATCTAATAGCAACGGTCAAGAGGACACTTCTCTCCAGATGCAGCTCGTTACGTACATCGATGAAGAGCTTCTCCTTTGCCTCCGATTTGGTGGTTCCCAAGTCTTCCTCTCCATCAAGTCCTGTGCCTAACGCACCCTCGGTGGCCGCAGTCTGGGGGGGCGAGTCTAAGAACAGGCACAGAGTTATTAACCTTGGGGCTAGTTGCACGCGCGGTGGTCGGGCTGACGAGCCCAAGAAGAGGGGGAGGCCAGCCCCTGGGACGGAAGCCGCGAGAACCCCCAGACGAGGACAGGGCTCTGTCTAAAGCAGAGGGGA